GACTGTGCTGCACCCAGCAGGCGTAGCTGTGCCCGGCGCCCGGCTCCACGGCCAGGGAGCTGCGCAGCTGGTAGGTCAGGTCCGCGTTGGGCAGGATCCCACTGGAGTTCAGCCGCCCGCCCAGCCCCACCTCCTCCCCGTCCTGCAGCCAGGCCACGCGGACGGGCCGCGGGTAGAAACCGGTGACGTGGCAAACCAGCAGTACCGGCGCGGGGGTCCCGGCTGGGGGAGGCGCTCGGGCAAACACCACGGCGACCGGCCGCTCTGAGACAGGAGGGAGAGAGACGGGACGGGGGAGAGGGGACGATTCAGTCTGAGCCTCAGGGACTCACTAGCCAAGCCCAGGTCCATTCCCCGGGGTCAAGTGTTGGCCCCGCTGTCCTGGCCAGATCCTGCAGTTACCAGTGGTGACGGAATCCCCCTTCACTTCCTGTCCTAAACTGCTGTGCAGTGCGGCCATGAAATGGCTACTGTGCTGCACCCCAGATGTAGCTGCATTTGTACACCAAGCAAGGGGTCCCTGTACAAACGGCCCCCTGCCCCACCCCAGATGTGGCTGCATATCAGTACCAGGCGAGGGATCTTTGTATAAGCAGTCCCCAGCCCAACCCCAGAGATGGCTGCATATGAGCATTGGGTGTGGGATCCCTGTATAAACAGCAAACACACCCTACCCCAGAGGCAGCTGCATCTCAGCGAGCGGGGAGTGGTGTCCAGCCTCACCTTGCCTCTCCTGAGACTCGTTCACGTACAGGACAAAGCTCTTGAGCTGATTGACACACGTTGTTCTCAGGAGAAACTGAAGCGTGATGGTTGCGCCCTTATTCTGGATGAGAAGGTCCCGGGTGTAAAGCGCACCCAGGTTATCCCCCTGCCGAGCAAACCAGGTGCCTCCGTCCACGTCGAAGCTGATGAAGTCCTCGCCGTTCACCGCAGCGTCATAGAATCCCCTCGAGGTGCTGTTGGGGTGCAGCTCGCAGCCGAGGGAGACCTGGGTAACAAAGGGGTCTGGAACAGGAAGGGCAGGGGGATGAGGACGGGCGTCCAGAGGTCCCAGGAGGGGGCAGAAACAGAGGGACGGGGGAGTAAAGACATAATGTCAGATGCCATGAGGATGTTGGGCCACACGACGGTGGCAGGATTGTGGGGGGGCCTTGGTTGGAGTTAAGGGTAAGTTGCAGTTTCTGTTTGTCACGGAGTCCCCGGGCGATGCTCTGGAACTGCTCCCCACAAAGCCAGGCAGGACTCTGGTGAAGTCTCCTCTCTGGGAGCAGACTGTCTCCAGGGCAAGAAGCTCACATGGCTTCACCTCCTGGGTCTGACCTTGGAGTATTCAGCTTCCCCTGCCCCACCGTGCGCTTCCCGCAGCGAGTCCGCCCGGGCAGGGTCCTGGGGCAGCCAGAGGGTCCTGCACCCCCACTTCGCAGTCAGACATGACTCAGCCAGCTGGGAAAACAGCAGGTTTATTAGGCGACAGGAATGCGGCGTAGGGCAGAGCTTGTTAGCACAGAAATCAGTGACTTTCAGCCAAGTCCACCTTGAGGGGAGGGGAACCCAGAGCCAGGGCTCTGCCCTCCCCCTGCACCCCCAGCCAGCCCAGACGGACTCGCTTCCAGCTGCCTGGCCCCTGCCCAGCCCCTTGCTCCTCCTCTGGCCTTTGTCTCGCTTCGGGCCAAGAGTCACCTGGTCGCATCCCCCTCCTGGCAGTGGCATAGCCAGGTTTTAAGAGCAGGGGGAGCAAACATAAAAAAGGCGCCCCCCCCTTGGCTCCTCCTCTGGCCACGCTCCCCTTGGCTCCTCCTCCGGCTGCTCCGCGCCCACCCAGCTCCTCTCCCACGCCCGCCCCATCTCATCCCTCCTGCCATTGTCCATGGCCAGCCCTGAGCAGCAAGCGCCCGCCCGCCCGCCCGAGCCCGGCTGCACTCCTCGCCCCGCTCTGGCAGCCGGGCTGTTGCCATCAATTATTAATCGGCTGCCAGCAGCCGCGGCGGGGAGCGGGAGCAGCTGCGATGAGGGCGGCAGGGAGGGCAGGAGGAGGGGAGTGTGTGTGCGAGCTGCGCCTGGCTCACAGAGGCCGGCGGCGCGTTTGGAGAGCTGTGGGTCCCCCTCGCCGCCATGTCCCCGCGCTGCGCGGCAGCCGCCTCGCCGGGAAGGGCCGCCGCCCCGGAGGACTCCAGAGGATGAGAAAGGAGCGGGCCCCACCCGCTGGCGCCATATAAGGTAACCCCTAAGGCGCTGCTTTTGAAAAATGTGCTGAGGGGAAGCGGCTGCTTCCCCTGCACCCCACTAGCTACGCTACTGCCTCCTGGGTCTCAGGTTACGTAGGGGCGGCCATAGATCCCTGCAGGCAGCTGGAGCAGCCCCCCCAAGTCACACCCCCTTATTCCCACCTCCTAGACCAGGGGTCGGCAACCTTTCAGCAGTGGGGTGCCGAGTATTCATTCATTCACTCTGATTTCAGGCTTCGCGTGTTCACGTTTTGAGAAGGTCTCTCTGTAAGGCCTGGTCTACACTACGAGTTTAGGTCGACTTTAGCCGCGTTAAATCGACTTAAGCCTGGACACGTTTACACTACGAAGCCCTTTCTTTCGACTTAAAGGGCCCTTTAAACCGGTTTCCTAACACCACCTCGACAAGGGGATTAGCGATAAAATCGGCCTTAGGGGGTCGGAATTGGGTTAGTGTGGACGGAATTCGACATTACTGGCCTCCGGGAGCTATCCCACAGTGCTTCATTGTGACCGCTCTGGACAGCACTCTCATCTCAGATGCACTGGCCAGGTAGACAGGAAAAGCCCCGCGAACGTTTGAATTTCATTTCCTGTTTGCTCAGCGTGGAGAGCACAGGTGACCATGCAGAGCTCATCAGCACAGGTAACCATGATGGAGTCCCAGTCCCAGTCCCAGGATCGCAAAAGAGCTCCAGCCTGGACCGAGCGGGAGGTACGGGATCTGATCGCCATCTGGGGAGATGAAGCAGTGCTCGCCGAACTCCGAAACAGTAAAAGAAACGGCAAAACATTAGAAAAGGTCTCCAAGGCCATGAAGGACAGAGGCCATAACAGGGACGCACAGCAGTGCCGCGTGAAAATTAAGGAGCTAAGGCAAGCCTACCACAAAGCCAGAGACGCAAACGGAAGGTCCGGGGCTGAGCCGCAAACATGCCACTACTACGAGGAGCTGCATGCCATTCTAGGGGGTGCAGCCACCAGTAGCCCAAGCGTGTGCTATCAGTCCCTCTCTGGAAACAGGGAAGCGGGTTCGGCGGACGAGGAA